TGCGCCTGCAGCCAGGGACGTCAGTGAGCACGGACCCGGGCGCTACGGCACTCCCAACTCCTTCCACACCTTGTAAATCTGAACTCAAATCAATCAGGTGCTCTGTGTAATAGAAATACAATAAAGGGCACTTCCAGGAAAGCAGGCTTCTCACAGAGCTGTAAGACCTTTTACTCTGCCAAGGGACAATTCACTGTCCCTGTTGTATTGCTTTTGATTATGCTAGTAGATACTTCATAATGGCTATGAATCAATGTGAACACTGAAGGGAATTTTTAAAAAAAGTGAATAGTGAGCTGGATGTGGTGGCACATGTTTGCAATCTCAGACCTCTGAGAGGCTGAGGCAGGAGGATCCCAAGTTCTAGCCCAGCCTGAGCAATTTGGTAAGACCCTGTCTAAAACAAAGACACTTAAAAAGGGCTGGGGATATAGCTTAGTGTGAAGATCCTGGGTTCAATCCCTAGCACTGTCAACACAAAACAAAAGGGTCGAAAATGCCAGAATGTATAACATGAAATAAAGGCGGGTATTGTTTGGTAAAGCTTGTTTGATATCTCTATGTCCCATGACTACGCATATTCATTGCATACACAGCCTTATGGTGAATTGTAAAACATATTTCTTCCTTTTACTTTTAATGTGTTTGGTACAGAGTTTCACTACACAGCTCAGACTCGTAGAAATCTTGTTTTCAGCCACCCCAGCTCTAGGATTACAGGCATGCAGCACCAGGCCTGGTCTCAGCGGCCAGCTCAACACTTGTCTAAGCAGGCGCTTAGTCTGCTGAACTATCTAACCGGTCCTATAAAGCATATTTCTTACAGTTCTTCCTCTTGGTTACCAAAATAAATAAATAAAAAATAAATAAATAAATAAGTACTGGAAAATACTCTGATAGTTCTATAATACCTAACTTCTAATTTATTACAGACTTGGTGCATAGATTATGTAATGTCCTTCCCTAACCGACATAAATGTGTTGTTTTCAAGTGCAAATTACAGATTATCCTTGTTATTTCAAATGGCTAGTTACTTCTGAAAGCAAATAAAGAATGTGTAAAGAGTGGAAAGGGCATTTGAAGCGGCAATACTTCATGGGATGTCACAGGCTGGGGGACTTGAACTTCACGGGCCAGGTCAGGCACCCCGGAAAGGTGGGGAGGGAAGCTCATATCAGGACAGCAGCGAGAAGTCGGCGATACACTCGAGCAGTTTTAGGGAAACCACGAGATAAAAAGAAATGGGAAATTCTGAATGTTCCACCTGCACAGTCCTGAGTACCGCCACCATAGTATAAAACTGCACCAAACTGCCACTGACTTGTATACATTTATGTGGAATGAATTTTACCTCAATTAAAAAACAAAACATGCTGTGCTGGCCCCACCTCTGGGGCATGTTGGGATGGTGATTGAGACTGGTCGTGGTGGGCACCTGTAATCCCAGCACTTGTGAGGCTGAAAACAGGAGAATCACTATGAGTCTGATCTGTGTAGTGAAACCCTGTACCAAAAAAAAAAAAAAAAAAGAAAAAAAGATAGAGAAAGGAGTGTCTCAGGAAAAGAGGGCTGTTATGTCCAAAGTGAGGAAAGAGACAGGATTAGAAGTCCAGGGCCCCATCTTGCAGTCCTGCTGACAGCCCTGTTAATTCTGGTCTGTAAGGATGACAGGGACGGCAGTGAAAGAACTGAGGAGAAGGGAGGGGACAGAAAGAGCTCTGGGAAGAACAGGCAGGTGCACTATGGAAAAGAAGCAAACTGAGACTCTCAAGTTGGTGTGGGCAGTGCCCCAGACTGCTGGGAAGGGAAGGGCTTGGAAAGCTGCAGGCAGTGGAGGAGGATGGAGTGGGATCCTAGGCAGACAAGATGGGCATCCTGGGGGCGGCCAGAGCGCCTCAAGAAAGGACCCATTGGGGGCCGGGGATATAGCTCAGTAGAATAAGTGCTTCCCTGGCAAGTGCAAGGGTCTGAGTTCAATCCCCAGTTCTGAAAAAAAAGGACCCATGATCTCGATGTGTCCTAAGGAACAGAGGCAAGGCCTTTATGACTAGGAACCAAGAGGGAAAGGGGCTTATGTAAATGAAGAAATAATCGAGGCATAATAAACTCCTTGCTGGTCCCTAAGCAGTTTACTTTTAGGCATTACAGAGCATCCTGGCCTGCTTGGGCAGGGTCGCGGTCCAGTTCGGAGTCTTTCTGCTCAGCCTTCAGATGGCCAACTCTTGGAAACAGGCCATTAGCATGTATTAAAGGATAAAGATTTATGCCAAGTGTCGTGGTGCACGCCTGTAACCCCAGCACTCCAGAAGCTGAGGCAGGAGGACTGCTGTGAGTTCAAGACCAGCCAGGGCTACACATCAAGACTGTCTCAAAAAGAGAATAAGAAAAAGAAAAAAAAAAAAATTAAGTGTCTATTAATAGCCCGCCTTATCTGTTAGACAAGTGAAAGCACAACAGAAGTCCCTGCAGGGAGGTTTACCAGATGACTGTCCTCTCTGCCCTGGTCTGGTCCAGTGCTTCTAGCTGACAGGATGTGGACTCTGCTCTCCACAAGTCCTGGGGAGCACAGGGGGGCACTTTAGGGGCCCAAGGTGGCTCCTCTACAGGGGTGGCAGAGAAAGCGTCTCCTTAGGAAAGACTGGCCTGTGGTCAAGACTCAATTCCACCTCTTATGAGACTTGTGACTTCCCTGTGGGTCTCAGTGTCCTCACCCAGAAGGAGAGGACATGTGTCCAAAAGGCAGGTCTGCACAGGAAAGAAAGGAATCTATGCACTGCATCTAGGCAGCTGCCAGCTGGGACAGGTGCTCTATACAGGGCATCTGGGCTCTACTTAAATGGGACCCTCTGGGAAATGGGGAGGGCATTCTGGGCCGAGAGTGACATGGGGACAAAGACAGAGAAAGCAAACTCCTTAGCAGAGGAGCAGGGGTGTGGATGGGTGAGGCAGGATGGGGCCCCAGAAAGACACCAGCAACCCACAACGCCCTGGCTCCTGGCTCAGTCCTGGGGAGCTGGCCTGACTCTGGGCGCATGAAGGCTTCACATGGGATCCACCGCAGTTACCACCAACTCCTCTGGTACCCCTCCGCCCTGTAGGTCCTTCTAAAAATCCATCACCTCACCTCTCGGCTCTCACATTTGGGTCCTCTTTAGCGAATGTTATCTCATTTAAATTGCTGGGTCCAAGGAATGTAAGCTAGTTAATGAGCTTGAGAGCTCCTCAGTAATATCTGCAGAGTAGACATCTGTTCCAGATCCCAAGGAGAATAAGCGGAAGTCTATAATTCTGGCTAGGGAGAGGAGATACCCACAAAAGGACAAGGCAGGAAGCATGACATTGAACAGGGCTAGTCTGAAAGTACTGTATAAAAGTGCAAGTGCCAATGTGAAGGTTAGGGACAGGGCTGAGCCTGAGGGCATCACAACCCTGTCCCCAGAGAGGCTGGCATTCCCAAACACAGGCAGGACCCCAGCTTCCAGAAAGGCCACAGGAGGGCTGAGGACAAGCTGGAGACGGAGGGAGGCATCCCAGCACCAGCATGGCAGGATAGACCCTGTCCAGACAGTAATAAGAGTGATCAGAGAAAGCAGACTGGCTTCCTTTGATTAGTGAATTTAAACTCTCCCAAGATACAGCTGTTCCCACGGCCCATTTCCTCACTTCCCATGCTGTGGTCCCCAGCCTCCACTTTAGAAGGAGCCAAGGTGATGAACCCCTCCTCAACTAAGCTATAGGGTGATGTGAGACCATCTGGGTGATCACTCTTGGCCCGGAGGGTTGACAGGAATACCGCACATCACACACACTCTCTTCTCTCTCTCCCAGTGTGGCCTCCGAATGCAGAGCGGACAAACTAGCCAATGTCTGGGCAGTGGTCTTTCTGTCCATCTCAGCATGTGCCAGCCCTTCCATAAGGAAGGAAAAAAGCTTTTACATTAACGTCACTCACTCCCCACAGGGTGCCCAAACTCCCTGGGATTCTGTAAGCAAGGGTGGCGAGAAGGATGTGGCAGCTGCAGGCACTGGACCGCCACAAAGTGACCAAATCTTAGACAGAAATTAGTATTCTTAAGCGCAGGTCCTCAAATGAACCCGAGCAATCTCACAATGCTACGAGAACTCAGCAGCCCCACATGGCCCCAAACAGTGCTGGTGACAAAGAGGTGTTACTGCTCCCGAAAGAGGCCTGGGCGCCTGGAGCTCAGAGTTTCCCAAAGGCATCTCTTGAAACTCGCCATGAACAAAGAGTCCGGCGGGGAACGCGCTGTCTTTGTCACCTCTTAATCTGGAAGTGTGGGAGTAAAGCAGAACACGCATTTTTTTTTTTCACTGATAAGCAAACCCCTAAGAAAACAATAGCTAAAAGTTACTGAAGTAACCTTTTTGCTAAGAAATTTTGAAAAAAGAAGGAAAAACATTTTTCCTCTCTAATTAGTGTCTTTACAGGTTGAAAACTCCGGCTGCTTCGCTCGGAGGGAAGAACGACAAGGTCTCAGCGGCAGTGTTCACCTGGCCAGGCAGCCAGACGCTCAGAAACCATCAGCCGGGACTTCTCGCTGCCGGGGCGGCGGGCCAAGCAGGCTCCCGCGCTGGGGGAGCCTGGCCCGGCAGCGGTCTACTTCCTCCGCCCAGGAGCGGGTTCCCGGGAACGAACAAAGCGGCCCCAGGCATCCCGCCCGGAGGAGACCCTGTTCCCACCGCGCCCCGCGCCCGGCACCCCAGACCCGACCGCAGAACGCGCTTCACCTCAGAGTGCAAGAACCAGAAAAGCCAACAAAGCACGGTCCGCGGAGAAACAGACAAAGCGCACCCGTGCGGGCAGACTCGGGCCCCAGGACTCCCGAGAGGGTCCCTCCAGCTGCCGGGGCCGAGGGGCGCCCGGGGGCTCGGCCCGAACCCTGTGTGGCTTCTTGGGACACCGAGCGAGGCCACCTCGACCACTCGGCCACCCGGCCACCCGGACCCCGCCGCCCCTCTCGCTCCCGCCCCACCTCACCTGGCGCGCGGGCCCGGGCGCTGGCCAGCGGCGGGTGGCACAGGAGGAGGCCGGCAGCGAGGAGCAGCAGGCGCCGCGGCCCCATGGTCCCCGCGCGGCGCGGGCTCCGCTCGCCGGCCCGACCCACTCAGCGCCACAGGCAGGAGCAGGCTGCTGGGTCTCGCGGCGGCGGCTGTGTGACCGCGGGGCGTGGGGTGCTGGGCGGGGACAAGGCGGGCGCAGGGTGGGTGGGGGCGCCCGGGAGGCGCGGGGCGTGCGCCCCCTCGCGGCCGCCACTACCGCCTCCGCCTCCGCCGCCACTGCGCAGCGCGCCCCGCGACCCCAGCGTTGTCCTGCCGCGCTCCGGCTGGCAGCGTCCTTCCTGGCCCGGTGCTCCCGGGGCTCCGCGGAACCTCACCCGCACCAGGCTGAGCAGCTCGGTGTCCACACAGAAAGTTGTTCCTAAAGGGTAGGGAAAAAGGCGTTGAAAGTTTATGCTGCGGGCATGAATGTTGGGACAGAGTTCGCAGCATTTCACCCCCTTTTCTCTCGGTTCCGCCAAGTTAGAGGATTTGCATTCTGGAGGCCCGTTGCCACCCGCGCGTCTCCCGCGCGCCCCCAGCTGCTGTCGCCTTGGCCCTCCCGAGCTGTCACTGAGCTGACCCCGGGGCCACACTAAAGCATCCTTTGAGCATTCTAGTCCGAGTCTGACTGCAGCCGACCCTCGGGGAGGGGACACTCCGCGTGCCTATAGGTGCCCTAGACGTGGTGCCAGGGTGGAGGGGTCCGCATCCTGCTTTGCTAGGAGCCTCGGGGAGTGGGGCTCTTGGACCCCAACAGAAGTGGGCCCCACCAGTCATTGTAGGCAAGCTTAGCCGCAGACCCTAAGCCTCGCCCTCCCGGGCACTGATGGGCAGGGCTGCTCTGCTGATGTCCCCAGGGAAGGATTCTAACTAAGGCTAGAGGCCCAGCTCTTCTACCTGCGGAGAAAGCAGCTCCTTACCGAGAGAGAAAACACTTCCTGCCCTGTTTCCCCATCATTTTCACAGCTAAGCTCCTGGCTGGGCACGACGTTTCAGCAGCAGTATGCTTAGGCAACTACTCAGCTACATACTGCTTTTCAAGATCTTTCCCAGTTCAGTTCTAGGAAATGATACCTAAGAATAGGTGTGAACCATTAAAATTATTTCTGCACACACTATTATAACTTATTTTACTCCTAAGATGCCATTGAGTCATCATTTTTAGCCTGGTATCCTGGTGCATGCTTGTAATCCCGGCTATTTGGGAGCCTGAGGCAGGAGGATTACAAGTTCAAGGCCAGCCTGGGCTATTTAGCCAGACACTGTCTCAAAGTGGAATCCAACGGGCTGGGTTTACAGTTCAGTGTCCAGTGCTTGCCTAGAATTCCTGAGGCCCTGGGTTTCACTCTTAGTACTACAGAAAGATCCATCCTTTTAACTTTATTTACTTATTTATTTTTGGCTGAACCACGGATTGAACTGAGGCCCTTGTGCTTGCCAGGGAAGTGCTTCTTCTACTGAGCCATCTCCCTAGCCCCTCATCCTTTTAACTTGTGGAAGAAAAAACAAACAAAAAAAAGCTTTAATAAAACTGGGACATGCCAATGATGGTCAAAAACACTCCAATTTGAGCATTGTTTAATCACGGAGGACATCTTAGAATCAGTGACATACAGTGTGAAATATGAAAATATATGACAGTTTAAAGCTATGAAGTGGGGCTGGTGAGATGGCTCGGTGGTCTAAAGCACCTACTTAGAACAAGCTTAGCAAAGCACAGGGACCGCGGTTCAATCCCCCAGCACCACATGCCAGCCAGCCCCACCCCCTGGTGGGCTGAGCTGGCCCCCCCCACACAAATAAAATTAAAAAAAAAATAAAGCTATGAAGTGAAACATGCAATTGTGCCCCTTTTGGAGCCTGAGGGAGTGTGGATACCCAAGGCCTGGGCTGTCCAACCTCTGCAAGGTTACACTGTCCCTCCCGTGTCCCCTAAGTGCTGCGCTGGCCCGTCCACGTTTCATGCTTGGTGCCCCCTTTGCAACACTATTTGTGTGTGTGGGTCACTAAGTAACATAAGGGTCACTTGAATCCTACATGTGGCTACAGGGTACCTGGACTATAGGGACAACTGGCCTGATAATTAAGGTGGAGACAGCGGTTTTAATGTTTAGCACACACAAGTACTGATTGTTGCAAGAGCTGTTCCAGAGCTATGGTTTTAGGTTCTATATAATTAACAAATGTCCCAGGTAGTGGGGAGAGAGGCGGCCCCCCCAGTCCCAAGCATTGAGAAGCAGTATTCACAGACAGTGCTGCTCAATGCTAGGGTGGATCAGAAACCCCAGAGGAGGGCGGACTCTCCGGACTCTGGCTCTGAGCCAAGCCTGGGACATGGCCTGAGGCTTTACAGGTCCCATTTCTGCAAGTTCCCGGATGTTCTGAGGCTGCATCAGTGAGAGGAACTCCCTTGGAAAACAAGACTGGAAGAGAGGTAGGAAGAGACCTGAACAGGATTCCACAAACAGCCGGCCCTCAGGATTCAAAGGAATTAGGTCCAGGGCTCCAGTCATACCCACTTCAGAGGGTGGGGATGCGCCTTATGCATAACATTGCCCAATATTC